AGGAAGGTATCTCCCGTTTGGCATTATTTCTTATGTAGCCTTTAGCTATACATATGGACTCTTAATAAATTATATTGACCCCAATAATCTTTGGTTATACTTTCCTTTTGGGTGTTTAGGACCCTACAGTTGGCCCAGAGAAACACAATTTATTTTTACTCTTAGGTCATTTGAGGATATGTTCCTCAGGCATCACCTGGGCTTGGGAGGAGCCCCTGGCTCCTTTCTTTTACCAGTTCTGTCTATGTAAAGATGTCAAAGGTCATGCTTGACGGTGGTTAGCTTCGCTTGGAAGCATGGAGGAAATGTTTCCTCTGTGTTGACCCTCCTCTTGGTAGACTGGACACTAGTTTAGGTCCATCTGGTGGGGTCTCCATGGCCTCCTTGCTCAAGAGGACAGGTAACTCACCAGTTACAGGGCATTTTGAGAAATATTCATGGTCCCCTGGAACTTAGTCTACCTAGGATGGCAAGGAGCAAAAACTGTCCTTTATGTCCCCCTGACCAAATTAGTGTAGGCCTGAAAGTATGGCTGTTAATAGTTCCAGGGATAGTTTCATTTCTTTCTTAATTTCTCCTTTGACCCGTTCATCATTCCAGAGTGTGTTGTTTAATCTCCATGTGTTCATGTGGTTACTGGAGTTTCTTCCAGTGTTGATTTTAAGCTTTATTGCATTGTGGTCTGATAGAATGCATGGAATTATTTCAATCTTTTTGTATTTGTTGAGGTTTGTTTTGTGCCCCAGTATATGGTTGATTTTGGAGAAGGTTCCATGGGGCACTGAATAGAAAGTATATTCTTTTTTGCTTGGGTGTAATGTTCGGTAGATGTCTGTTAGGTCCATTTGATATATTGTATTGTTTAATTCAGATATCTCTCTGTCCTGTTGACCTATCTAATGGAGACAATGTGGTATTGAAGTCTCCCACTATTAATGATTTGGGATTAATCTGGGTCTTAAAGTCCTGTACTACTGCTTTTATGAATTTAGGTGCCCCAGAGTTTGGTGAATATATATGTTCATGATTGTAATATCTTCTTGTTTTTTTTTGTTCCTTTGATCAGAGTGAAGTGGTCCTCTTTGTCTCTTCTGATTAGTTTTAGTTTAAAGTCTATTTTGTCAGATATTAGAATTGCTATGCCTGCTTTTTTCTTAGTGCCATTCACTTGGTTTTTTTTTTCCATCCTTTCACTTTAAGATAGTGTCTGTCCTTGAAAGTGAGATGAGTTTCTTGCAGACAACAAAAAGATGGGTTTTTTTTCTTAATCCATTCAACTAGTTTGTGTCTTTTGACTGGGGAGTTCAGTCCATTGGCATTTAAATTTATTAATGAAAGATTTGTGTTGAATCCTGTCATTTTTATTTCTGTTCACATTCTTGATATAGCTGTGCATTCCCACAGTTATACCTTCATTGAATTTCTTTCTGTAACCCCTTGTGTATAGTTGTTCCTTTCTTCAGCTCTTTGTATTGCTTCAAGAACTGTCTGAAGGGATGGTTTTGTGGACATGAATTCTTTCAGCCTATTTATGTCATGGAAGATTTTTCTTTGCCCTAGTGTCTGGGATGCCAAGACAAGAAATGGGCCAGTACCCAGGCTAGGAGGAGAGATGTGGTGGGAGTGAGCCCCACTGGACTTACCCAGGAAAGGTGCTGGCACCAGGACACAGGAGGCTATGCATCCCAGGGAAGCAAAGGGAGGTGAGGGCAGGACCAGGCCCAGAGGGCTCCTGGGGTCCAGGAGAGGTGCTGGCACCAGGATGTCCAGAGGCTGTGCAGCCCAAGGAAGTAAAGGAAGGTGAGCATATTGGTCAGATATTTTTAATGGTCTTTTTGAGGCATGGTCTCCTGTTAGCCCCAGCTGGCCTGGAACTCACTATGTAGACCAGGCTGGCCTTGATCTCACAGAGCTCTGCCTGCCTCTGCCTCCTGCATGCAGCGATTAAAGGCTACACTGGGACACTATATATAGTGTATGAGTGTTTTGCATACATGTATGTAAGTATAGAGTGTGCATGCAGTGCTTGTGGAGGCCCGAAGAAGATACTGGATCCCCTACAACTGGAGTTACTCATGACTTTCAGCCACTGTGTGGGTGCTGGGAACTGAGACATGGTCTTCTGGAAGAGCAGCCAATGCTCTTAACTGCTGAACCATGTCTCCAGATCCCACCTCATATTTTTTTATGTGGGTGGTTATAGCTATAAACTTCCCACTTAGAACTTCCTTGGTTGGGTTCCAGACTTCTGGTAGATTATAAGTTCTTTTTCATCACACATAGAAAATTTTAGATTTCTTCTCTTATTTCTTGAATGACCTGCTATTCCTTCAAAAATGTATTGTTCAGCCCCTATTTTAGTAGTTTCTGTAGTTCACTGATTTCTGTTTTATTCTATTATGATCTGATAGGAATTATCTTTTATTAATTAAATTTGTATTGACATTTTTTGCATTTCATACAAATCAATTTTGATCATATTTAGACCCCTCCTCTATCCACAAACCCCTTTGCCCTCCCCACCCAATCCCGTGCGCTCCATTTTACATATGATACTATCAAGTCAATCTTGTGTCTCAAATGTCCTTCCATGTGGGTCTTCCAAGGGATGTGCTGGAGACTGGTTGACCTTCCCAGAATCCCTAACCCTAGCACAGTGGCTTACTGGGACATAACTTTGTAGCTTCTGAAGTTGCCTGCTTTCTGCCCACTTTTCTGAATTATGTAACTTTTCCTTTTGATCTCACAGAGATCTACCTGCCTCTGCCTCCCAAGATTGATGGGATTAAAGGTGGGTGCCACCACATCCGTCTAACTTTGGGCTTCCTTAGTCTTTCTGTAAAGCTCCCTCCCTGCTTGTTCATCACGTGTCTGACCTCCATATACGCTGAAACAGCTTGGCTTTTTTTCGTTTCCTCCAATTCTCCTCCACCAGGCAGCTACTGAGACTTACAGCGTTGCCTGCCTCGGAGGTTTTTCTTCTAAACTAATAAAATTGTCCTCAAGCTTCTGTCTGAGCCCATTGTCAAATTATTTGGTTGAGACTAAGAACCACAACAGGGGACTCTGATTCCCCCTGTGCTGTCAGTTTTCCTGGCTCTGATCATTGGAGCTATTTTATATTTTCCATCGGTCTAAGGGAGCGTTTATACTTTTTTTCTGAAGATCATAAAAAAAGGAAGAAGTCAATAATAATAAACCACCACAACAAAAATGGAAACAAATGACTGTATGAGCTCAGGTCTCCAGATTTGGAATTGTTATGCTTATGTTGAAAAATATAATTTCAGGTTATTTTCGACTTTTTATTACTCATTTGTGCTTAAGCTTCCTGGAGTCAATATCCCTAATATTCTAAAAATCCAATGGAAATTCTGTGTGCAGGAACATGTAGATATACAGACGCATATTGTCACGTGTCCCAGGTGAATATCCACACTTGAGAAAAGCAGCTTTCCTGTGTGTTTCAGTTTCATCCAGCATTCAGTTCTACAAGAACCAACCCCAAGCCCACTCTCTTTAAGACAAGTGTTCTTTGTCCCAAATACAAACAAAATGGGAAACAGTGGTTAATTTGGTGAGCACCCATGACATCAAATCCTAAATAATCTAGGGGATAGGCAAGAAAGGCAAAGTGTTATAACATTTGCTGGTTGTTATTCAACAGTAGAGTTAGAATTCCAATCTTAAATTCTGGGTTTATAATCATGTGATTTTGCACACCTTCTCTCTCCCAAGGGAATACCCCTGTCCAGAATACCCCTGAAACTCTTACAGCAAGTGCTTAACTACGTGTCTTAACTACGAGGTGCAGTTCCCAAAAAAAAATCCAAACTCATGTTAAGGATTTTATAAGACTGCTTATTGATTAGAATTTGTGATGCCTGTGGAGCGCTGGAGTGCTACAGGTCTTTATTCCTCAAATAGACATTTATAGTCCACCTCTGTGTGTGGCCTAACATCTTTGAGACTATCTGGTAATAACCTTTATACAATGTAGCTTTCCCCAACTCAAAGCCAAGAACATCCTAAAGTATCTGCAGCAGAGTCTTCTATGCTTGGCGTTCGCCTGCCTACCTGACGTCCCCTCTGATGGATTTTAAAAATGCCTTGCTTTATAAGACTTTCTTTGTTCTGTCATCATAAAAAAATTGTGAAAGTGTTTCCATATTGGAACACTGTATTTGGGGGCAAACTGAATCTGTGTTTCCTGACCATGGTCACCTTGTTGGTTCCTGAAAGGGCTGTTCTGGTTTTGCATCAAGATAACTAAAGAGGATCTCCCTCTTCTCTCCTCCTCTCCTCTCCTCTCCTCTCCTCTCCTCTCCCTTCCCGAGGGCCTACGAGGTCGACCACCCTCCCCTCCCATCCCCTCCCTCCTTTCCTTTGGTTAACATGACTTTCACCTCTCAATTTTGATACATTTCCTGACCTTCTTTGTATTTCTTCAGAGGGCATACTACCTAAGTTGTGCTTGTAATTTCCAAAAGATGTCGTGGAAGGTTGTTTCCTATGAACATTGCAGATTGAATTAAGCTATTTTAATTTAATGTTCGTTATATTGATGAGAACTAGATTGCTTGTTTAAAGCACTGAGATTCATCTCTGTGTGAATCATTTTATTTCCTCTATTATCCTTTGCTATTTTGAAGCTGTAAACAATGTTTATTTCTATCATAAAAGAAATCTACATTTAAGAAGCAAATTACATATTTGAAAATTGAAGGCATTATTTTCTATCATCAGACTGAAGATGCATTAATATTAAGGCTAATAGAGAGTGCTAAGAATATAGTTTATAAAAAAGATAGGATGCATTGGTAAGCACTGGAATATATTTTATTTATGTCTCATTATGTTAGTGCATAAAATGATGAAGTCAATCAGACTCTGGAGAACTGAAAGTTTTCAGAATGTTCAACATAATGCTTTCTGCTAAGTTCAAATTTTACTTATAGGAAAGAAAGATAGTTAAAAGGTTTTACTTAAAGCTACTTTGTTAAGGTGCTATTGGGAGTAAATACAAAGAGCAGTTAATGGAGGACTTTGTGTTCAAGAGAAGGATGTGTTCAAGTGGCGCGAAGATCTACCTAGGGATCACTGGGTCAACTGGCATATTCCAAACCGAAGGCAATTCATTAGGAAGTGTGCTTGAGGATGTACCGGGCAATGAATTTAACGGCAAGCATGGTCTCTTTACACGTTGGCTTTATCTGTGATTCTGGAAGAAGAAAACCAAATCTGCCTTTGTCACGGAGCTCAAAGGCAAACGTATGTTTGATGCCCAGGTCGTAAGCCCAGTCCAGAGAAGAACCTGATGTTGGGTCTGCAAAACATAACCAATAAATATTCAGTTAGAGACAATTTATGATTCACCTTTTTTTTTGGCGTGGAAATCACTGGTGCAGAGGATGGGGAGTGTCTCCAGATAAAGTGCTTGCAGTGCAAGCATGGAGACTTGAGTTCAGATCCCCAGCACCCACATAAAAGGCCAGGCGTGGTGGCTCATGCCTGTAATCCCACTGTTGGCGGACTGAGGAAGGAGGATTTCCTGGGCTTGCTGACAAGCCAGACTAGCCAATTAGTGAGCTCCAGTTCATCAAGAGACCCTCTCTCAGAAAAATAAAGTATAGAACTATAGAGCAAGAAATTCGGTGTCAGCTGGCCTCCACACATGTGTGAACATGCATGCCCCCCAATTGCTTGATTAAATTAGCAATAAAAGAACTGCAATAATAGAAAAAATTCTAAGTGGCACAGACTATATAGTAAAATATAATCATGAATTTGTAATTTAAATATGTATTTTAAAATTACTTTTTAGTGTTTCTTTTTCCCTCTTTTTTATTATTGAAAATTAGCATAAAGGTGATTTTTGTTGGTCTTAGGATGTGACAAAAGTAGGCAACTGATAACTACTTGGAGAGGGAGAGTTGGTTTTCCTTGAGGATGTGATGCTAGCTAGGTTAACCAGGACACACACCAAAGGACACTTGGGTGCACAAACTTTGCTCTCTCTATAGGCCTTAACTCTATGACAGAGTACATGTAATCAGGTAAGTGGGGAGGAGCTATAAAAGAGGTGCAGATGGGGAGGGGGCTAAATATGATAAAAATGTATTGCATGAAATTCACAAAAATTCAATAAAAATGATTTAAAAGTGCTTTTCATTATGACATTTTAACACATATCTGTTCTTATCCTTCTGCTTTTCCCATAGCCACCTCCCACCCCCCTCCTCTCTAGCTTCCATTCCCTCCCATCCTTCATCCCCCTCCTCTAGCTTCCGTTCCCTTCACATCTGTCCTCCCTGTGCTCTCATGCCACGTGAATAGCCTTTTGGTTGGGTCAGTGCTAAACTGGGTTGATTTCCTGGGCTCACACTGATGAAGATGGAGATGTTTTAAGGAAGTGCTAGCAGCTGAGCAGACCTACTGTAGAGGGCATTGAAAATGGTACAGAAACTACGCAGAACTGCATGTTTTTCTCACACTTTAGGTCTTGTTATTTACGTGGCTGGGGAAAATTGGTCTTTTTGTTTGTTTTGGGTTTTGTTTTTATTTACTTATTTTGTTGTTTCTTGAGACAGGGTCTCCCTGTAGCCCCAGGCAGCCTAGAACTGGCTATGAAGACCAGGCTGGCCTTGATTTCACAGAGATCCACTTGCCTCTGCCTTTTGAGTGCTGGGATTAAAGACATGCACCATCACACCCAGTTTGGGAAAACTGTTTTATAGCTAGAAGGCCAATAAAGCTCAAGCTAGTTATTTCAAGAACATAGTTAATCCTCCAATCCAAGCTTTCTGTATAAAATTTTTATGAATTTTTACTAAAGATGCAAGTTTTTGGTAAAATATTGAAAATATAAACACATATATAGAGGTTTTGCATGTTTATATAATGTGCATATACATGCTACATATATATATAAAACACTACATATACATACTATACAAAATGCTATAAATGCATTTATATATTTTCCTGTATGTAATAAAATTGTAGACTTTCTTTGATGATATAATGTTATCGAGTATAATAGATTTTATTGATATCACTTCTCACGTCTTCATCTAGACCTTAAATTAGTAAAATTTTAAAGGCAGCATTGAAATTTTTCTGTTCATAAAACATTATTATAGAATTTAATTTGCTGCACATGATATTTAAACTTTTACTTATGGCCATGTATATCCATAAAGATATGTACATATATCTATAAAATAAAATAACAATAACTTGACTAAATGCCAGGCACCTTCTAAGTGGGTTCTTTTGTTTTTTTTCATTTTTGTCTCTTTAGATCAAGTCTTACTATGTAGTCCTGGCTGGTCTAGAACTGACAGTGATCTGCTTGCCTCTGTCTCCTGAGTGCTGGGATTAAAGGCGTATGTCACCATGCCTGGTTCCTAAGTGTTTTAAAGTGTTAGTTATTGAGTTGCTTCCTATCCCAACTTTATGCTGTGAGTGCCAGTTACTCTTTTGTATAAGAGGAAACTCAGGCATGGTGGGATGAAGCCACTTGCTGGAAGACAGAGGTCTAGTAGATGCTTGAATCGGGATTCAAACCCAGGCTATGTGTCTTCAGAGTTCATACTGTTGATTGTAATAGTTATCCTGTGCCTTTCTATAGTCGACTTAGTAGAAAGTCTTCTCTGAGTTTACAGGGTAACTTATTTTTTGTTGAGGTCATATTCTTAATATATGAACATTTGGAAAAATATACTTCCTGCTCTTTTCAAGCACATATTTACCAGAATGTAGTTAAAACAAAAATGAAACCAAGTCAAATTAGGGAGCTAATTTCAGCCCAAAGAAATTCGTGTGATGCTGATGGCTTAATGTGTGCTATATTACCGTCCATTTTCTAGGAAATTACATCATTTAATGAAGTATTATAAAAAGGTAGGGGATGTAAGGGGATAGTAGGAGTGTGTGCTGTTTTCTGGACATGACAGGGTTATCACAGTCATGAAGTCATGACAGTTGTGGCTAGCTGCATAAGACCTACACTCAAGATCAAGGCAGCAAACATTCTGGCATACATGGGGTAGATGATCTCCAGGCCTCATCGCTTACAGAGGAGCTATTGGTAGTTGTCTCTGCACAGTGTCTTTTCACTAAACTCCGGTGTGTTTTAGCCGTTTTGAACATAGAATGCTAGCACCTCGCCTCTCTGATCTTCCCTTCCCAGTACAAGCAGCTGAATCTATCTGGCAGAATAAGAAAAGATGGGAAGGTTCTAGCTCGTTGCTTTTGTTGTAACACATCAGTCCCACCTCTGACGTATCTTGCAGATAACATACAGCCATCAAAGTCAAAACTAATAACTGGCCCTTATAAAAAGTTTGCTGATTGCTTGTAGATAGAATAAGAGACTAGAAAGTTAAGGCTAAGAAATCCAAGTCAGAAGTGAAGAGCAATGGCTAAAACACACCAGAGCTTAGAGAAAAGACACTGCACAGAGACAAGACCAAAAAAGAAATAATCACATAGTTGAACACTAGATGTGAACTCTGCCCCAACTAATTCTTGTAAAAATGAAACATTGTTGTAGCTGTTGGGGCATAGTTAAGACAGATGAATTAAACTGTAAGTTTGTAGTGATTTAATACCTTTTCTTAATTTTGTGACCTTGTAAAAGTTCATCGTAAGTTGTTTCTAGAAAAGTCTTACTGAAGCAGGCACAAGCTATCCTTTAGATTCATGTATTATACAGTATTTCCTGTAAAAACTGGATTTCAGGTTAGCAATTTTCCAAATTTCTAACCCTAATTTATAAATTTGATAATTTTCTTTGATATTTATGTAAAAATTGGGGAAATGCTTCCAGTCAATGGCAGAAACAAACTTACAAATTGTTGATGCTATTGGGCCATAGATGTAACGGGTTTCATATCTAGTTGATATAACATCAGTGGCAATTTTTGCAACTTTGACCTAGAAAGGAAGGTTAGAGTAGAATTAAAGAATACTGTACAAATACAATAAATTTACTAGAAATTAAATAACGATTTTACAGGTTGTTTAGCATTTGAAAATCTAAATAAGATAAATGGCTAGCTTAGGAACAGTTTGATTCAGATATGTTGTCAATGTGCAGACCATCAATTCTATACACCCCGCCCCCTGCTTCTTTCAGACTCATTTGGGCTTTAGATCTGGCCCTTCCAAAGTCAGCTTCTCCATTTTCTTCTATGTTTCTTATTCTGTTCTCTGTACTAGGTCCCTTATGGACACAGGACTTTCTCTGTGTATGTTAAGGCAGTAGATTCATTTTTGTTTTAATCTTCGTTGTCTGAACTCTTATTTTGCGGTGTGATTGAGGATCACTGTGCATGCTAGAGAAACACTTGGCCACTGAACTACATCCCTAGTGTGGGTGAGTCCCCTTTAAATTAGCTGTTATGTCAGGGTTTCTTTTCTAGGGCGGCACTTCGTCATATCTAATAAAGTGCTTTGAGCTATGAGAATGAGTCCTGGAATGGATGTGAATGGAACACAGACACTAACATATTTGTGCTCCAAATGAATATTTTTCTGTTGCTCTGTATAATGTATATAACTAAGAAATTAATTTTTCTCTAGATTAGCTTAGTTGCTGGGTAAAAACTTCCAGTTCACTCAAAAAGTGATTTGTTGCGTACACGTGTGCTTTAAAATCTGTACCATCATTTTCCTAAGACTTTGAAATTGCCTTGTCGTATCTGCAGAAATTAACTAAACTCATGGATTAAGATTCTTAATGAAGGGCTGGAGAGATGGCTCAGTGGTTAAAAACACTGGCTGTTCTTGCAGAAGACCTGGGTTCGAATCCCAGCTCCCACATGGCAGCTAACGACTGTCCATAACTCCAGTTCCAGGAGATCCGACAG